GAATGTACAGTTCCATGTATATTTGTGCCAGTCCCAGACCAACGTCAATGTTCTCGTCCACCTTTGCGCCCTTGAGCCCCTCGTACATGGCCCTCAAACCCAGCCATGCCTGGGGATCTTCGGGCTTGATCTTGGTCGCTTTGTAGTAGGCTTTTGCGGCCTCATCGAATTTGCTTAGTCCATCGTTTGCGCGGCCCAGGAACAGATACGCAAAGTAGTTGTCCGGGTCTTTGTCAATTACTGCTTTGGCCTGGTTCTTCGCTTCCTCCCAGTCCTTTGCGCCAATTGCAGCTTTGGCAGCTTTGAGCGCCGTCTTCGTAGACATGGCGTCAGTACGAGTCCAGGTGTTGACGAACCGGCCGTCTGTACGACGGAATGCTTGCTATGAATGCGCCATGGAGGGTTGAGTTGCATGTGTACGTAGGTGGGGCGCGCGAGATCCAATGACGCACGGCACTTTGGCGCGTTAATCCCGACTTCGATCAGTCCAACAAAGACCATCATTCTGCGTTGGCAGCTGGAAAATCATCTTCCCTCAGTACTCTTCCGTCGAAATCTCACGTGTGCGGCCTTTATTGCATTGGCCGAGTAGCAATACCATCAAGCCGCCGTCATGGCGTCACACGCAGACAGCGCACATGACTTGCTGGATCTGGACATCTCAACATTACGGCAATTCATCGAGCTATTCCCGAACGAGGGTCTATCAAAAGTCATCATAGGCTGGCTCAGCAGTGGCATAGCAAAATACCCGCTTACTGCAGAGAGCGATTCAAAAGAAGGGCCGGACTTGAGTGAAGGCGGGGTAGCCCTTACCCAAGATGTTCCAGTCTCACAGGAAGATTGCCTGGTGTTGATGACCGAAGGTCTTAGCGAAGCTCCAAAGTCTCCCCTAGCTCACTGCCTTCTCGGAGATTACTACCTGTTCCTTGAGGAGTATGAGAGTGCAGTCGAGACTACCAGAAAAGGTCTCAAGTACGCGGCTGCGGAGGCCAAAAAGACTGATTTGTCGTTCCAAAAGACACGTGATGCTCTGAGCAGCACTCTCGCCACTGCTTTGGTCTACTACCAAGCACCAAGAAACCACTTGGAAGCCAAAGGTATCTTCGAATCCATTTTGAAACGCAAACCTCAGTTCACCTCCGCACTCATTGGCATTGGACTGGTCCTAGAAGAAGAGGAAGAATACGAGAAGGCTTTCCAATTTCTAGAGCAGGCATTGCAACAAGATCCCTCAAATGGCCGCATCGGTGCGGAGTCAGCCTGGTGTCAGGCTTTGGCTGGGGACTACAAGACTGGATTGGAAAGGCTACAACAGTATCTTGATTACCCCCAACTCGATGCAACCAAGCAACGTGGCCGTGAGCTTCGAGCACAGACCCTCTATAGGATAGGTGTTTGTCTATGGGAACTCGATCACTCAAAAGCTGCGCGAAAAGATCGACAAAGGACATATGCCAAGCTACTTGCAGCTATCAAAGCAAATCCAAATTATGCCCCTGCATACACACTCCTCGGTATATTCTATGAGGACTACAACAAAGACCGCAAGCGCGCCAGGCAGTGTTTCCAAAAGGCTTTTGAACTGTCACCTTCTGAGATTGTGGCAGCCGAACGATTAGCCCGTCTTTTCGCCAACCAAGGAGAATGGGACATCGTTGAAGTTATCGCTCAGCGAGTAGTGGACTCTGGCAAGGCCCGGCAAACACCTGGTTCTAAGCGAAAGGGCATCAGCTGGCCATACTCAGCTCTCGGCGTGGTCCAAATGAACAAGCAAGAATACCAAAAGAGCATAGTATCATTTCTTTCAGCATTGCGCATCAGTCCAGACGACTACTACTCCTACGTCGGTCTTGGTGAGAGCTATCATAATTCTGGACGATACAACTCGGCCTCTCGTGCTTTCAACTATGCCGAGAACCCCACAGATGGCGTGGTAATGAAAAGATCAGACGAGGAGGGATGGTTCACAAAGTACATGTTGGCCAACGTCAATCGCGAACTAAGCGAATTTGACGAAGCCCTCGCTGGTTACGAAGCGGTACTCGCAGTACGACCAAAAGAGTTTGGCGTATCCATTGCATTACTGCAGACGCTTGTTGAAAAAGCATGGCATTGTGTCGAGACTGGTTTCTTTGGGGAGGCTGCCGACAGTGTAACTCGAGGTATCGAAGTTGCCGACACCATCACAGAATACAAACCTGACGCCTTCAACCTGTGGAAGGCAGTCGGTGATGCTTGCAGTATATTTAGCTGGGTTCAAGACAAGCTTGATCAATGTCCATTCGAGCTGGTTGTCAAGGTTCTGCAAAGCAAGTCAGCCATGGACCTTGACTTCGATGCGCACAAAGACATTGATGGGCTTGGTCAGGCAGAGTTGGCTTCACTTTCCACGAACAGGGATTCAATCCTGACAAAAGTCCTCAAAGCTGCGATTCTGGCTCAAAAGAGAGCAATCGTAAGCTGTGCACACGACATACACGCACAGGCAGTAGCTTGGTACAATCTTGGCTGGACCGAGTACAGAGCTCACGTTTGCCTAGAGCAAGAATCTGGCGAGGACACTAAACTAACGACATATCTTCGAGCAGCTATGAAGTGCTTCAAGCGTGCGATTGAGCTTGAGGCTGGTAACTCTGAGTTCTGGAACTCGCTTGGTGTAATTACGACAACATTAAGCCCAAAGGTCGCTCAACATGCTTTCGTCCGGTCGTTGCATCTAAACGAGCGAAGTGTGCACACCTGGACTAACCTCGGAGCGCTTTATCTGCTCCAGAATGATACCGAGCTCGCTCATGCAGCCTTCTCGAGGGCACAGTCGCAAGACCCCGATTACTCTCTAGCATGGGTAGGCGAGGGCATCATTGCACTACTTACTGGCGATTCCAACGAAGCGCTATCCCACTTTACTCACGCGTTTGAACTCTCAGAGTCGTCGCTACTCCTCACCAAGCGACAGTATGCGGTTTCAGCGTTTGATTTCCTAGTTTCTTCCCCGTCGACTTCAAGTGATATCACAAGCCTCATACAGCCGCTCTTTGCGCTCCAACAATTAAGTATACAAGCGCCATATGATATCCCGCACAAACATCTTGCGGCGTTGTTCTTGGAGCGTGTAGGCAATTATGATGCGGCTGTGACTGCTTTGGATATGGTCAATGAGACCGTCGAGCAGGAATACGAGAAGACTGAGTCGATGAAGTCACTGGCTCGGGTGGCCCAAGCCAAGACGGATTTGGCCCGCAACCTTCTCGCCACTGGATCCGACGAAATGGCAGTAGAAGATGCCGAAACTGCTCTCGATCTTCTCTCAGAGATTCAAGGCGATTCCAAACAGACTGCTCTGTCTAAAGACCAGATTGCAAAGACCAAACTATCCGCCCGTCTCACAGCTGGTCTCGCACATTACTTCTACGGCTCCTTTGACGCAGCGATAGCATATTTCCGCAGAGCCCTAGAAACAACTGGTGCAAATCCTGACATTATTTGTATCTTGGCCGAGGTTCTCTGGGCCAAAGGCGGTAAAAATGAGAAGCAAGTAGCTCGTGATCAGCTCTTCGCTGCCATTGAGAAACATGACGGTCATGTGGGTTTACTGACCCTCATTGGCGCCATGACAGTTCTCGACGATGACCTCGAAACCATGGAAGCTATCAAGGACGACCTCAATCGCATGCGCACAAACAAGGATCTCAGTGACCATCAGCTGGCGCGGGTAGAAAAGGTCATGGAAGCTATATCCATCAGTCTCGGTGGCGAGGAGCAAGAACTCGACGAGGCACGTCGAAGCGTCATGCTAGCGCCTTTCAAGCATACTGGTTGGGCGGAGCTCGCAGATGCCACCGGCGGTAATGAATTCGCCAGTACACTTGCAAGAGAAACGGCAATGCGCAATGCGCCTCCTAAAGGCTCACTTGGTGCTGCTGGCTTGGCTGGTGCAATGAATAGTACTGGAGATGTTGGAGATGCCCAAAGGGCCATAGTATTGGCTCCGTGGTGTAAGGATAACTGGGGTGGATTGACTCAATGTATTCAGAGTGCTTAGTTGTTGTATATGGAATTTAATACGCACTCTAGCAAACACTATGCAAAAGTTTTTTTAAATGCAGTTTCAGCAGTGCCGTTTCGAGAATAGAGACGCTCAAATCTTCAGTATAGGCTTGAGTGAATATGGTGAGGTAATCAAACAAAGGTCTTGAGTATTACGACGATGTCTCAAATTCCAAATGGAGGTAATTAACAGCACTCGTCATTTGATATCAAAGGAGGCAGAAGAATTAGCAGCAATTATTTTGAACCAGTCTACACCTACGGCCTCTCAACACTGGCTCGCAGAATCGGCTTCCAGTATCTACGCTTCACGCCTTTTCTCACAGCAGGGGGTCAACCGTCCTCGCTCATGTAAGCACTTCGTCACGTGAGCCTGTGTGCAACAATCTCAGCCTTGTGGGTGGAAAACATACACAGCATCATTTGTACTATGTACAGAGGGGCCATAGTTAGATGTAAAGTCGTTTCAGATATTTGCCGTCGCATTGCGTACCTTAATATTTGCTAACCGTGGTACTTGACCTTGTAGGTTGTCATTACCACTGTAATACTTATCCAGTAAACTCAAAACATTGGCTTTTATTACTGACGAGTAGGCCGAGATGATTTTATCAAACATATGGACGTATATAAAAGCGATAATTTGATGTATTATCGCGGACAGGTATGATTGTAGTAGCCTTATAAACCATGAGGCGCATTATTAAAGCAAAACAGGTGTCTTCGCACATCTAGAGGAAAGGTGTCTACACAACTGTAATTTTTGTATTGCTGGGTAGTTATGCATCGACTTAGAATTATCCCTAGTAACTACATAATTCAATCTGCCAAGCCTATCCCATCCAACCCCAGTTGCGGTGCAGTCACAACAAATGACTACTAACTACAGCCCCATAACCCCCACATCTATCCCACCACCGCCACCACAACTCTCGCATGCCCACGATACCCTAAAATTTGTAGAGGACACTGACTGCACTGTCCGGAATATGGCCAAGGAAAACATACTCGTACTTCGAGTGGTGCAGTGCACGTTCAGGGATATCCATACCCAGCGTTTTGGCTAGATATCTAACATTGCGATATTCTATACGCCTATTACTAGCATACACATCGATCTGGTGGATAGTTACATTCTTCCTTCTCTTTTTAACACGCTGCTCTGCTTGTTTCCACGCTACACGTTGGTTACTGTACCCTGAAATGAAGAGAGAAGCACGTTTAAGCGGCCAAATCAAATGGCATCCCAGCACGCGACGCAGAGTGCCCTTCTTCGAATTAAAAGTGATGTCGCTATCTTGGTCCTCCGCCCATATACCATCTCCATTAGAGTATTTAGCGCGAGAGCTACTATCTGTAACTCGCCAAGATGTCGTCGGAGCCGTCATCGTGCACAAAGTCCTATCGTGGTGTGGCGGGGTAACGCTTTGTGAGGAATAAGGGCGTGCCTCGACGCGCAGACGCGACACGCTTTTGAATCACATGCCCTTTGCCACCCCCCCCCCCCCCCCCCACATTGACGTCTTCCGAAGTTTCCCCACCCTGCTTGTCCCGCTCAAACGCGACATTCAATCCACACGTGAAACTTTGCTTGTTGTTTTGGGCTTACCAGTATTCGACTGGCTCAACGATCGAAATCATGTTATCACTGCTAATCGAATATAATTATCATAGTGTCTATAGGCGATAATAGTGCTATAAAGTTGAAGTCCCTGTAATTTTGTCCGTTATAGCGGTTGTTGCGTTACGAAGGGATGTACATTACTTCAACTCTGCACGTAATGTCGAAATCACTGGCTCTCCCGCGTGTGATACCGACTCAAGATTCCGCATGGTCTTCTTTTGTGACTCGGAGTGTCGCTGCTTGGAATGGCCTACCTGATGAGCGACTCTTCTCCAAAAACTTACATGAGGACTTGTTAAGCGAATATCACTCCTTGGACGAGTTCTTTGATGGGAGTCTCAAGTCTGTCACCTTTTGGTTCTTCCAAAAACGAGGTGTTTTCATGTCGCAAAGCCGCTCCAGAAAGTGGTCTCGCGAGGTCCTGAACGACTATGTTCTTTTACCCGCGGCGCTAGACTATGTTCAGTGGAGAGACTGCTATTTCATCAGTCATTTCTGGCGCAAGAGGGATAATCCCGATCCAGACGGGTAGACCTTACGTTTTCACCAAGCTCAACTGGAGACGCAAACATGGTCGTACATCTGGGTGGACTGGACATGTCTACCTCAGCATCCACAATCACCGCCAGAAAAGACGTACTTTCATTACGGCTTGCGGACCATGTTGTACATCATCCGGAACACTGGCTTCGCATACTTTTACCCCCCTTTTGAGCCGCGCCTGTAGATGTTGTATGAGGTAGCCGAGTACTACCTCACATGCTCCGGAGGCCTGCCAAAGACACACGATATCGAATTGTTTCTTGAGCATATCGATGAGATGATTGAAAAAGGGGTCCAGAAGACGTTGGAGAAGTAGCATTATTAATGCTATAAAGACCGTGACAGGCAGTACCTGACATCTTGGCTGGAACTGCTTGTTCTTTTCCAGCAGCTCAAGGTTGACATTGATCTCGTACGAATGATAATGGACAACATGACATGGTCCGATGCAGGTTCGCTGACATATCTGGGGTTGTTGGAACTGAACAGATATGAAGGCTCCCTGACATACCTTGGGGACAAGCATACCTTCACGCCATTTCCAAAATGGGTTAGTACCAGTCATCTGTATACTGGACACCCGCTAACAGACTGCACTAACTAGGATAACGAGACGAACCCTTAAGACCTCGTACCTCGGTACTGTGCAGAATAGTAGCAGGAATCTGCCCTTGGAAGCTTGGAGGCAAGTCACAAAGTGACATCAGAAGGTTAGAGGTTTGAGCGATTTTCAAGGCTGGAAGGCATCAACGTCATTTCTATGAATGTCGCCTCTTTCAAGCGGTAAGATTGTAAGGTTCTTCCACACCAGTTGTTTCGGCGCAAAGAGACGTACGTTGGTCATTTAAGTGTCTGAAACAAACATACAACTGCGGTGAACATTCAAATACAAAAAACGCGACTCAAAACCAATCGGCGCTAATGCACTGACGGTCTCGGAGATGACTCAAAAAAACTAACAATTGAGATGTAGTTGCTTTTCTGCCCGCATCAACGTTTGACAGTACGCCAATAACAAATTTCACGACAATACGAAACATCATCAAAATAATCACCGATCCATCACCATCTCTTCCTCAAAGATCTTCCGGGGGTCGCGTGATCTTCGTCAAATGATCCCCATTCAACTCCTTCAAAATCTTGCCTAGACCCTCATGGCTATAGTCTTTCTCGTTCCACATATCCTGCTCACAGTCAGTAACTACCTTCTATGGCCAACACCCACAAACTGCATCGGCTCTGTAAAATCAACAGTTCAAACATACCTTGTGATACCTCACCTTGCCCTCCTCATCAAGCGTCAACGTAACCAAACTATTAACCTTCTTGGCAACAGGCACAGGCTTCGGCGTATACTCCTGCTGCAGCTTGAAGATAATCTCATCGGGTTTGGATGAAACGACTTCTGTCTTGATAGTCCGGCTACTTTTCATGAGAATGGGTATGCCTATCACACGTCAATAAAGCTTTCCCATCTTCACTACAGTGTATAGAGTGGAGAGTTGGCAAGCTACATACCATACCATTGGCCCGCGATCTTGTATCTTGTATCGCAATAACTCCACGGGTCGTCGTATACAGCTTCTTTGGCGTACACCATCATATCATCTTTGCTCGCACTTCCAGAGTACAAGTTGCATATGGATTGTACGATTTTCTCCCTCTCAGGCTCTAGTTTGATCGAGTTTTCAGGATGCGGTTCGTAGTCCACGCCTGAGGAGGTGTTTTGCGAAGGATCGGGATTCTGGGTTAGTGAGACGGGGTCGGGTCGTTTCTCGTAGTCGTTTTCGAGGCGTGCGCCGAGGGTGTCCTTGCCGGATTTGCCTGTTACTGGGAGAGTCATTTCTATTGATTTTGATATTGGATTAACATGGAACGTACAGTCTATGATGATATTGCTACTTTTGATGGGCGCGATGTCTTGACGTCATGGTTGGTCAGGTATGCGAGCGCCCCCTCGGAACATAGAACATCTGCATGAACCAGCTCTACGCATACTTCGTGAGGTGGAAATACACCGATATTAATTTGAAGGTATGCTATATGTCCATGCGGATCAGTTGTTTTGATATGGACCTTGTAGGCCATCGATATACTACCCATCAGATTAATTACTGGTGCCCAAACCAGAGCCAGTGCATTCTAATAATCGCACCAAATCATACTACTAATAATATCTAAAGATTTACTCCTCATCTGAAATGCACTACCTACTATGTCTTTTATCACGATTAATCGATTCACCATCTAGGGAACAGGCTTCAGATACTGGTGCTGCGCTCTGGACTCGAACATGATTGACAAACGGAAGAAACGTGTGGTTCCTATGAGGAAATGGGGTGATGTGGTCCGCACAGTAAGCCTCACAGCACTCTGTCGTATATACCTGGTAGGGTGAGGGGTTTGGTTACCCGGTAAATGGCTGTAGCACGTAAGAGGGTTACGATAGTGCTTAAGCCATCTTCTCAGCGGTAATGAACAAAATCTTCATTCCACGTAGGCCAATATTTTCAATTTTACTCGGATACTAGATCAGATCATGTCTCGACTTTGATTGTCTTTGTGTACATAATTTAGTCCTTCGTCCGGCCGTGACTGCGCATATTTGTGCATCTTTGACAGTTAGGCTGAAAGCCAGAAGTTTTCCAGTGCCTTTGCCTTCTGCGGTATAAAAAATTTTGACCCCCTTGCTATCCAATCGCAAGGCTCCCTTAAACGCCAAGCCAATACAATAAATGTAGTTGACATTTCTGGATTTGATGACGAGAATGCCGCCCAGTGAAAACACGATGCAACGGACGATGATTCCTACTCCGGTAGTAACAATGGCGCAGTCGGCTGCAAATTCCGCATGCGGATATTCAGTCGCGATTGAGTACGTGGAGCCAAGAGGAAAGAGGATGCCAATTTACCAAGAGACGTCACATTAGGCTACACCAGCGAGCGTGCCACGCTGCCCTAATCTGATTGATACTTGGCCCTCTTGGATCAGTCGCATGCATATACGAAGCTGAATGTAATGCAATAATCTAATGGATGCAAAGTGCATGATCGTATCATGTCTCACCGGTATGAGCTAGGTGGCTTAATCGTGCAAGGCTATGTGGTGTCCTCTTACACGCACTACAGCCTTCTGTAATCCTGCCCGTCAGCTCTATAACCTCAAGCACTTAGGCAGCTCTAAGAATTAGGCAGTAGCCGTTGCACATCATTACTGTACACTGTTGACTCTGCATTGTGGCTTCGTCCGGTGAGCTTTATAGCAAGGGTTGCAGATGAGATGGCTGATCACATCAACAACAAGTGGTTCACAGGCGGGAAAGTATGATTGTCAGGTGCTTAGGACGTGCTGATCTTTCTCCTTTAGCGATTCCATCCTAAAGATAAATAGAGCCAACTATTCGTGCACTTCGCAGTCCAAGTTCCATCACTTTTGACACATTTATACCCAACACATTCGAAATACCAGGACTTTGGTAGAGTCTACTACTGTATGTACATTCGTCGGCTAACACGAGATGGAAGCATACTGATTTAACAAGGTCGCACAACATGGCCGAGTGTAGCTCTTGCAACGGTTCTGGAACGTCAAGGTACAAAACAGACTGTGGAAGTTGCGGCGGCAGTGGAAAATCTGTTGGGTCAAGAGCCTATGAGGCTGATGGTGCATCTTGTGGGTCATGTAAAGGTTCGGGCAAGGTATACACCAGCGCTACGTGTGGAAGGTGCAGCGGTACGGGCACAACGGGTTGAAATGACTGGTGGTCCACCTCGACCGTCTCCAAAGCGTTGAGGCATTGATATGAGAAAATGAACTATTGTGCGACACCGGAGCCTCGTCTTTAGGTTAGGCATATACAATCATTAAAAGTGCTGTCGGCTCACTGCGATATATAACAAATCGACCCTTGTGTGTATTTCTGTATTTTTGAGACAAACGGGAGAACAGGACCTCCAGATAATGCAGAATGGTGCTGTCGTTGGCAGAGAAGACGTAATATAAATCGCAGTGAGTCTAAATACTAAAATGGCGAGTCATTTCGGCCTATGTGCTGTCTCTGGAGTAAACACCATATTAGCAATTGGAACCCTTTGGCTCAAGAAAGCGGGCATACTCGTACAAATGGCGGGGTGGTTCCTAGACACAATGTCAAGAGGACGTCGATATTCTTGAACATTCACTGTGTGTTTCTCTGCCTACACTGATTCGTTTTCGTCGTTTCTGTACTTTCGAACTAATAGTCAGGCTGAATCTGTTTTCTAACGTCGATTCCAGTGTGCCAAGACGCACCGTATGAGGGGACAGTTTTCGCTTCTGAGCCTCGCTATCTCTAGTTTGCAAGATTAGAGATCCGCAGTCAGCATATCCATCCTCAAACGTTTTTCCTCTTCAAAGGTATCAACCTCTGGTACGAGTTTTTGCGATGGTGTCCTGGCTATGGATCGTTTTGTTAACGCTATTGGTCTATCTTCCGTTCATGCCCCCTGTCTGCTCGCGATGTAGAATGTCTTTGCAAAGATCAGAAGGTCTTTTAGGAAGCAGAGATGAAAAAAGTTCATCCTGTAACTCAGCGCTCTGCTGAGTTAACGCCGCGGGACAGCCTTGCAGCTGATAAGTATGTTGTGCGCAAGTTCAGCCACGCCTTCCCCCCCTTCAGCCTGATGCAACAACGTCACTACACCGAGAATGCAACAACAAGCGCTGTCTATAGGTCCCATGCTTTTGCAGCCTACGTTCTACTACAAAACTACATATTTTAGTAGTCTACTAGCTCTTCATCTTCTCTTCTGTAAACTGTACTGGAAAGGGAGTAAGAAAGGCTATTGCTGTACTCCCATCAGGCTACCGCATCAAGCCTTTTGTTTCTACCACGCGCCCACCCCACGCCCGCACCGAGTCGATGAGTCTCCTAAGGTACTAAGATGGTAGTCACCTAAATATCACCAGCTTCACAGATGGCGCGATACTCCTTATGCAATACTTTCACGCACCTAGGGGGAAAATATGGAGGAAGTTAACTTTCCCATTAATAAAGCTATAAGAGTAGTAGAGATATTGATATTAAAAACAACAGGTTAACATTTTGATAGATCATATAGCGCTATACGAGCAGAGCTACTATATATACTGATTAGCCGTAGTATGTATGTGATAACTAGAGGCTAACATATTCTAACGGGTGAATTGGATTTCTCAAACACGCCAAGTTAATCCCCCGTTCTGATTTTGTAACTTCACCACGCCCACTGGATACTATTTGCATATGGATTTTCGCTATTAACTGCATAACAGCGCAAATTAACATTATGGAATTCTGGCAGCTGGCGGAAACTCTATTTGGTGTACTTAAACCGCTGCAAAGGATGCTGGGGAAAGCTTATGGTCGGACAAGAATTGATTACTGCATTAGGTAAGCGGACGGCGTTCGGCTGCGGTTGTGGAAAACTTTACGTTTTTCATCCTTCCTGTGGCGATTTTCTTCTTTGGTATCTTGGCAATAAATATACGCAGGGCGAAAGCGCAGCCCTATCCGTGCAAAGCAAATATGTTGATGAATGATGTCATCGGTTGGAGAAATACCCGTCCAGGGTCTACTATGGTTGATGGTCGGCGTCGGGGTTTCATGTGCCATGTTGACACTACAACCAAGCGTATCCATGTTTTGTTTCGCGAAAGGACCTGCGCTTCTGGAACCTGCATGTGCCAGCATTTCATCCTGCGCTGTCGTGGCTATCTCACACGGGCGCATCCGCGATACACGCTTGCGCGAAAGGGATCGGCTCAACGCGGCGCCTTCGGTCCTGCTTACGGGTCCTCGTAACCCGCCTCACGCCATTCACAGGCCCGTCTCTCGCTCACCGCATACCTCATCTCCATCCTCTGTCCACAGGAGTTCCAGAACGTAGTCTGAATCACGATTGTTGCACAACATGTACTGCTTTGTGCCTCAGGCCCAGACTCTGTAGACCTCTCCGCCCAGCACGGTACTTGGCAGATCGCCACTCAACAGCCCTTGGCACATAAAAGGAACGAGCCTCGTCCGCGTCATCCTTGGGGTTGGCATGCAACTAACCACAATGGCGCAGGGACAAGATTCTATTTTAACTTCCGGCTGCATGTCAGCATAAAGTTCCGACTGTTGTTTGATTCTTGCTCCTTTCTGCACACATCAACGCCGTTCTCTCAAGTCCACATTCCAACATTCGTTCAACATATCATACTACCCTTTAATTTCTAAAATATGTGGGCAAAAGCAGCATCACTCTTCGCTCTAGCGGCCACTGCCGTTGCCCAATCCAAGGGCTTCAACTATGGTGCCACCAACGCAGACGGCTCATGCCGCGGGTACGACGACTTCGTCCGCTTCTTCAATGAGGCTAAGTCCCTTCCTGGAACATCTGGCTTCAACACAGCGCGTCTGTACACATCGATTCAATGCGGCAGCCAAACAGAGCCCATCTCAGCCTTCCGCGCAGCCATCGACACTGATACAAGAATCCTTGTAGGTCTCTGGGCTAGTGCCGGACGTGCCGCTTATGAGCGGGAACTCAACGCCCTCCTTCAAGCTGCTAGGGATCTGGGCACTCCTTTCACAGACAGGATTATCGGAATCAGTGTAGGATCTGAGGACCTGTACCGCAGCAGCGAGCAGGGAATCAAGAACAAAGCTGGCGTCGGTGCTACCGGAGCTGAGATCGAGGGATACATCGGTTGGCTCCGTGACTGGGTTCGTGGAACCGGACTCGCCAAATGCCCCGTTGGCCACGTCGACACATGGACTGCCTGGACCCTAGCGGAGAACCGTGGCGTTGCCCGCGCTGTGGACTGGCTCGGTCACAACTCTTTCCCCTACTTTGAAAGCGACAGGCCAAACTCCATTGACAATGCACGCGATAACTTCTTCACTTCTGTCGCCCAGACTGCGAGCGTAGCAGACGGAAAGGAAGTCATCATCACCGAGACTGGTTGGCCACGAAGTAAGTTTATCTACGAGTCCAAATGACCTCCAGGCCTATAACAATTGCTAACTCCCTTCACAGTTGGACCCGTCTCTCGTGATGCCATTGCTTCTCTCGGCAACATGAAGCGTTATTGGAAGGAAGTCGGTTGCTCCCTCTTCGGTGTCCGCACAACCTTCTGGTACACCCTCAAGGATGCCAATGCTGGCCAGACTGATTTGTCCTTTGCCATTACGCCTCTCCAGAACAACACACCTTACTTTGACCTAACTTGCTAGACACCTAGCACCCAAAAAAGCGATATTCACAATGGGATAACTTAATGGTTACTGCATCTACTCGTGTATAATATGTAATCCAAAAGTGTAGAAAAATAGTCAAATCATACATCCATTGGATACATGGTCCCGTAATATCAAAAACAAAGATCAAACGATTTCCCAGTCCACCTACTCAGCCACATGCCAATACCTAATCAAAGGGGCTGAAACCACTACCCCCACTTTTCCACCTTGACGTTCCTGCAGTAACAAATTGGTACTAAATGCTTGGCTTGGAAATTCAGTAAAATAGGCAATAGTTGAGGTCTATTTAATTCTGGTTGCCCTTATCCCAAATAGGCTCAGCTCCAGGTCCTCCCCGCCCCACCACCCCCTTGCACCACTAGTCTACCACGTATACGATCGTTTCAGAATTCGAGCTATTTCGTAAATAGCGTTACTCGCTATAGGGGCCAGATTGAGTACATGTATCGTTGGCTTGTTGTGATGGCGAAGGTGTTCAGTGTGAATGTCATAGTGGGAAAAGAGCTAATTGATAGGACTGTGTAGAGAGATGTTATGTGCAGCTGTTGATCTAACGATCTAATCCGTAGAAAATGGCAGTTGCTATTCTATTATTTTTTTCAAAAAGAGTACATCATTACAAGTAAGTTGATTGTTTATTTGA